ACTCTGGGTCATCTTAGCAAACCTCAGTTATCCCTAGCCCTGAACTTCAGATACTTTGAAGACTTCCAGCCGACAGAGCTCCAAACAGCCAGCTCTTACACAGGATGCAATTGAGAAACCCAGCTTTTTTCATTTGAGCGTCTCCTTGACAATGAAGGCCTGCTGGGTTTCCCAAGTGGCACCCTCATTTAAAAAAATGCAATTTAACTGTCAGCGGAACTAAGGGCATGTGTTGGATAGCGCTCAGTGGCATTGATTCTGCAGCGACAAAGAAGCAGAGGATGCCAGGAGAAGCTCGTGGGTCTGGGAAGTAGAGGGAAGGGTGGCATTTGGGGATTTTGCTAGTGCTAAATTGCTCCATCTGTTGCATTAATAACCAATCAGTTCGGGGGGCTGGGAAAATGGGTAATTAAAGCATACGGTACCTATTAGGACCTATCTGCACATATGTAACTGCTCATTTCATCTGTACAAATGGCTGCTTACTTATGCAAATGGCAGGTCTGAATACCCATGGTGGGGAATTCTGCTGGGAAAGCATTTCCCATGGAAAGACTATATTCAAACCCTGAAAACGCTGAAAAGTCTAGGACCCATGATGCCATGCATGCAAAAAAGAAAAAGCTACAAGCGAGGTGGAAAGAGCAAAGTCCTGTTGGAAGGATGAGGTGTTGGAAGCTATGCTTTTCCGAAAGGGGCTGGTGAGCATGGCTTGCATTGGCCACAGTGTGGGGCAGACTAAGGTAATGCAACGGCACTCAAAGCAAAGATCATTGGGAGACTGGGGTCCAAAATTTGGGAGTGGTTGGGCCAGATAGCCCAGTGTGATATGTGGGACAGACACAGGTATTAGGAATGGTAACACAACTAGTCACGTGACCCCAATATAACCTGGGGCTCCCTATTGCTGAGATGCAATGCTGAAGACTAACTTAGAGAACCAAATGTCTCTTCATGATTTGGGGGAAATTCATGGAGAATTACTTGTGATTCTTTCTGTCTTCATAACCTGCTTTCTTGTGTGCTGTCATTTCACCCTATATATAATCCCTAGAGACCACAGTCAGCTCTGTCACTGGTTTCTACAAGTGGTCCACATTTTGTGGCTTTTGGACACTGTACCAGAGTGGGGAGATGTAGGGACTGTTCAGCAGAAGGTGTGACAGCATTCAGTCCCCAGCTTTCAGCCATCTTTTCACTCCCTTTCCTCCATTTTCCCTCTTAGTCTACTGCTTTGATACCCTCCCAAGCACAATCAATACCTCTCCTCTGTTCTGCCCAAGATCAAATGCTTCGCATTCTCTGCTGTGACCTCAAATACTTATCAAACCATTTTTCCCACTAAGACAATGATTGCTTTCTAAGAGGAGTTTTGGTAAATGCAATTTTCTCTAATTTGTTACATAAAAATGGACCCTGATTCAAAATTTAATATAAGCTTCTACGTATAACGTTGACCGTTCCTCTATTTCTGTTGCTGGAAAGAAAAATGGGTTGGGCATTATCAGGTCTTGGACAGGAGGTGACTTAGGATACTTTTGGCTCTAATTCAAATTAAATGATAAGGCAAATTATATCTCACCTCATAAGAACTCTGGAAGTGAGGTAGCTCTCTCTGGGTTGGCTAATTCGGCAGCTCAGTTATCTAATTAAAGACCCATATTTTTCTGCCCTCCACTCTGCCACTTTTGGTAAGTGAAATTAGTTCTGACATTGGCTCTCCAAATGCTCACTAAATGGTAAAACACTTCCAGGCATGGCCAGTCACAACCATGTTCAGAGAAGAAAGGAGGCCATGACTTCTCCATGTTTCTTTGGAAGAGCAAGGAAACCATTTTGCAAAATTCTGTAAGAGACATTCCTTGCTGTCCCAGTAATAGACCAGTAATCTGCCATATGCTCTGTGATGATCATTCACTGGTTTGGTAAACTGACTCATCCTGACTTGCCCGGTTTAATCAGAACTTTAACCAGAACTTTAATCTGCAACTTAAAGGGCAGAGGTCGCCTCCCTAAAGCCCAAGATCTTCATGTGGGGGAGGGGAGTCCTTAAAGCAAATCTGGGCTCTGTTGAGATGGAAAGAAAGGAGGAAATCAACACTGAGTAGACAACCAATTTTATCTGCTCCAGGAAAGGTAATTTAGTGGAAAACAGAAGGAAGTTGCCATAGGGCTGTTTCTATGGTTCTGGAACTACTGTAAGCTCTTGCATAGGTACACATGAAGATACAGAATTGAACTTCTTTCTCTCTGGACCATGAATGCTGGGGTTTGAGCAAATCTTTTACCTTATCTTATCTCAGACAAGCTCAGTACCTCCTTGATTTTGTTCTTTTCAATTACCAGCCCTGTAGCTTCATCAGTGACCACCCATCCCTACCCCAACCTTGATCATGATGGATCCCATATAGCTTGTGGATTCTGATACCTCAACTGTATTTACCAAAATGGGCATGGCCAGGATGGGTTACAGAATTAAAGCCAGGAATGGTATGCTGAAAAAATGCGCCCCCCCCCCCCCCCCGCCCCGCCAAAGATATCTAAGACCTGATCCCTAAAACCTGTGAATGTTCCATTAAATGACAAAAAAGTTGATAAGGTTAAGGATCTCAAGCTGGGGAGATTATCCTGGATTATCCAGATGGGCTCTAAATACAATGAAATATATCCTTATAAGAGAACAGCAGAGGGAGATGGAGGTGAAAGAGAAGATGATATGACCACGAAGCAGGATTTGAAGATGGTCGCCTACAAGCCTGGGACAAGCAGCCAAAGCCAAGGAAGGCAGCAGCCTCCAGTAGCTAGAAGAGGCAAAAACCAGATTCTCCCTTAGAGCCCCCGGGGGAGTGCAAAAACTGTTGACATTTTGATTTTCTCTCAATGCAACTCATTTGGACTTCTGGCCTGCAGAAGTGTGGGAGACTAAATTTCTACCAAGTCATTTGGGACAGTAGCCATAGGAAACGAACACACCAGATCTAATCAGAATGAGAGATGGTGTGGGAGGTGTGGGTGGGCAGGTCATGTTGCCTGAGTTTTTTTTTTCAGGGGTTCAGTCTTCAGGATACCAGGAACAGATGACTGAGACTGACCGAGATTGACTCCTGATTGTTTGACAGATGTCCTGTGGAGATGCCCACCTGCACGGATCGTATATCATACAAGACACGGGAGATGTTTGAGCTCTGGTCCCACTACCTGAATAGCAAGGGATGGTCACAAGGCCATTGGAAAACGTGGCCAAAGGGACAAATGCTCTTCTATACCCAAGGGAAACATGCCCTGCCACACCACAAGTCAGAGGAAGGCACGGAAGGGGCTTCTTCTTAGCAGTCTAGCTCGTGAGAGGGAGCCAGAAATTCCATTTGGGGGAGTGAGAGCTTAAACCTCAGTGCACTTCCCCGGTTCATGGAGTTTCAGAGGGCATTTGTTACTTGGGTATTTGGATAATGGAGGCCTTGCCATTGTCAAGTTAAGGTTGTTTTCCCCTCTAGCAACGTATTAACATTAAGATAGTTGGGAGATCCCTGGAAGAATGTCACACATGTCCCACCCAGGAGTGTGTGTTGGCGGGGAGGTTGCAGGGTTGTCAGCTTGTGCTCTGTCTTCAGCTAGCCTTCTGCTCCCTCATCAGTGCCATAGTAACTTCCTCAGGCTGCCATAACAAAATACCATAAGCTGGGTGGCTTTAATAACAGAAATTTCAAATCTCAGGCTCTGGAGGCTAGAAGTCCAAGATCAAGGTGTTGGCAGGGTCAGTTCCCCCTGAGGGCTGTGAGGGAGAATCTGGTCTGTTCCCCTTTCCTAGCTTCTAGTAGCTTCAGGCAACCTCAGATTATAGGTGGCATTTTCCTGTATCCTCACACCATCTCTCTCTTGTGTGTCTAAATTTCTCCTTTTTATAAGGACATCTGTCATACTGGATTCGCACCTACCCTAATGAGCTCACCTTACCTTGATCATCTGCAAAGACCCTATTGCCAAATGAGGTGACATTCACAGGTACTGGAGGTTAAGACTTTAACATTCTTTAAGGGGACACAGTTCAACCCGTAATAGGAGTCACTGGTCACACAGTTTATGAAATATTTTCATAGCTGTTAACAAATTCTCATGACAGTTGTGTGGGGCTCCTAATTAGGTATGCCCATTTTACAGATGAAGACTGAGTCCTGCACAAATCCACGAGCAACCGGTCACTGTCCAGACAAGGACCGAGACCCAGAACCTGGTCTGCTTCTTTGCCAGGGCTCTTTCTGGAGTCCATGCTGATGAGGGAGCAGAAGGCAAGCTGAGGACAAAGCACAAGCTGACACCTCACAACCTCCTGACCCCCCTACTCCCAGGTGGGATCTGTGTGGCCTTCCTCAGGCACTCCTGGCTGCCCTAAAGCTAAGGGAAGGAAAAACAAATGGTGAACTGATAGAGATCACAGTCCTGCAAGACACGAGTCTCCATCAGTTTACCAATGTCTTAGTGATTTACAAGGAAAAAGCATTCTTATCAATAGCCTAACTTCCAGAGACCCATAACTCAATTTTCTGGAGCCCTAACATCACCCTCCCTTCCATGGGTGTCGTGGGAAACAGAGGTGGAGGAAAAGTAAACACAATAAAATTTCATTATAACCTGCAGCCCCTTGACCAATCCTTGAGGCAGGCAGAGTACAGCGTTCCTCCATGAAGCTCCCAACTATCTTAATCTTAGTGCCTTACTAGAGGGAAAAACAACCCTAGCTTGACAATAGCAAGGCCTCCAGTATCCTGTAAATCTTCTTTAGCATATGAAAGTCCTTTTGGACACCTCCCTTTTCCTTACCTCCTCCAACTCCCAAGTGTATAATCAGCCACGCGTCACAACCCCGGGGCAGCAGCTCTTTCTGCCCACGGGTCCTGTCCCCATGCTTTAAGAAAACCACCTTTTTGCACCAAAGACGTCTCAAGAATTCTTTCTTGGCTGTCAGCTCCGGACCTCACCAACATTCCAAAAACTACATCACATGCTTCTCCTCTCTTAGGAACAATCTGGCCCGAGGGAAGGAGGCCACCTGAATGACAACGGGATGACCCAGAGGCAGACACCAGAGCTGGAGAAGTTTCTATCTGAAACCAAGTTTGTTCCAGGTGGGTTAACCAGCTGAGTTACCTCTCTCCCAGACCAAAGCCAGTTAGAAATGAAGGAAGCTGCTGGGATACTTTGGCATTTGGTCTTGCCTTGATAACGTTTTCTTCCACACTGGGACTAGAGGGTTTCTGGTCCTGTGCCCTGTGAATTATTTGGCTGATTAGTTTTCCCATCCGCCTCCCAAATCCTGTGGCCATCAGGAAACTCGTGACTACATGACTAAGTGGGTAGAAGTTCATAATCTGCACATCCACACCCCAACTTCCTTGCTGTTCTTGACTTTCTTATCGGATGCATATTTTCTTTGGCCCCAGTTTTTTATTTATAACCTCTACTTAATTGAAAGCATTCATGTAAGCTGCCTCTATTCCTTTGTGGGTTGAAACAGGGTAAAAAGAAATAAAATATTATCTTTTTCCAGAAAGAAAAAGTGTTTTGGAAAATGAAAGCCTTTTTTTTTTTCATGATAGAGACAGAAGATAAGGGAAAGATTATCCAATTTCGGAGGCTTTGTGCTCTGGAGACTACAGGCCTATGATGCTCGCTATTAAATGCATGGGCTACAGCATAAATTTCTACAATTGGAATAATTGTGCCATTGTTGTTATTTTCATCTCCATTAGCACTTTTACATGTTGTTATTGGGGGCTGGGGCAGGGGAGAGTAGGATTTGAATTCTTTCATTCTTTTTATTCAGCATCAGGTTTATTTCGATTTAATTGACAAAGAGTAAAATTTATCCTTCTTGGGTGTGACAGTTCAGTGCGTTTGACAAAGGTTTAGAATCGTAACCACCGCCACAGTCCCAGGTAGAGAGTATTTCCATCACTCCAGAAAGTTCCCTAGTGCTGCTTTGTAGTCAATACCCTCTCCTCCTCTCCCCTGATCCTGCTCCACTCCACTCAAGCTGATTTCTGTCCCCGTAGTTTTGTTTTTTTCTCCAAGTAACATATAAGTGAGATCATATCTTATGTAGCCTTTTGTGTCTGGCTTCTTTCAATTAGCATCATGTGTTTTGAGAATCATTCATGTTATTGCATATCAGTAGCTGATCCCCTTTGATAGCTTAATAGCACTTCATTGACTAGATGTTTATTCATCAGTTGAAGGATATTTGGGTTGTTTCTAGTTTTTGATGACTATGAATAGAACTGTGCACATCTGTATACAGGTCTTTTGTGGACATAGCATTTTTCTTGAGTAAACATCTAGAGTAAAATTGCTGGGTCATACATACAATTGGTGTGCAACTGTAAAAAATTGCCAGTCATTTTTCCAAAGTGGCCGGGTATACCATTTTGCATTCCTGCCAGTGATGTATTCCAGTTCCAATCGCTCTGCATTTTTACAAGGGGTTTATCTTAGTCCATTCGGGCTGCTATAAGCAAGTTCTGCCAACTGGCCAGTTCATAAACAACAGAAACTTATTGCTGGAAGCCCGAGATCAGGGTACCAGCCTGGTCGAGCAAGAGCCCTCTTCAGGGTTGAAGATTTCTCCTCGTGTCCTTACAGGGTGGAAGGCTCCTGAGGGCGCTCTGTAGGATCTCTTTTAGAAGAGCACTAATCCCATTTATGAGGACTTGACCTTTATGACCTAATCACATCCCAAAGACCCCACCCACTAATGAATTTTTTTTGGGGGGGGGGACACACCAACATTTAGACCATAGCAGTATTGATGGTTTTTGTTTGTTTGCTTTTACCATTCTAGTAGGTGTGCAGAGGTATGTCCTTGTGGTTTTAATTTGAGTTTAGTTAATGGCTAATGATGGTGCGCATTTTTTCATGTGCTTATTTGCCATCTGTAGCTTTACTTTGAGTAAGTGTCTGTTCAAATCTTTTACCCATTTTTGAATAGTGTTTATCATTCAATCATTGAGCGGTAAGAATTCTTTATACATTCTGGACACAGCCAATTACCAGATAAGCGTTTCACAAATACTTTGTCCCAGTCTGTGGCTGTCTTTTCATTTTTTTAGCAGTGCTTTCGGAAGAGCAGAAGTTTTTAATTCTAATATCTTCCATTTTATCATTTGTTTTTCTCTTATGGCTTTTTCTTTTTGTGTCCTATCTTCTGTAAAAATTGTCTAAACCAAGGTCACAAAAATTTTCTTTAGTTTTCTTCTAGATGTTTTTGGTTCTGGGCTTTACATTGAAATCTATGATTAATTTTGATTTGACGTTTGTACATGGCACGAGCTGAGTGTTCACATTCATTTTTCCCATATGGGCATCTAATTGTTCCGGCACCATTTGTTGGAAAGTCTCTTTCTCCTTTGACTTACCCTGGTGGCTTTGTGAATTCTCTCATTCTTGATTTGGAATGAGATGCTGTCATTCACATCCTGCCCTTGCTTTCCAAGTTTCAGCCTGGCATTGAGCCTAGATGGAGACTTTTGTTGCATTAGGTAACCATCTGTAAAGGGGAAAATGTTTGCTGTAAGTGACTAATAAAAAAGCCTCCTAAAGCCTGATGAATTGGCCTCGACATCTAAGTGCTTCCCCCAGGTTTTAAAAGAGAAAGCTGAAAGACATCCAGTCTCACCTGCTCAAATGAAATTCAGTTTTCTCTGATTGGATGGTCATAAGATCTGCTTTTATCTGCCACCCTAGCATTTTCTGAAAGAAATCCAATTTAGCAAGTAGAATATAAAGCCATTCCAGCTGATAAATACAAGCTGGTGGCAAGCCATGGAGAACCTCTCTGCTCTGGCACTGGGAGACTGGCTGAGATGAAGGTGGTATGGCCAAGTCCATGGTGGGCATGCATCTTGGGGTCTGGGGCCACCTGGGGCCATCAGAGCTGTGATGATGGAGCCTACAGCATCCAGGGAAGAAGCAGAGGGCTTCAGAGTCATCAGGTTCTGTTACGGCTGCATTCTCTGATCTTTGTAAATTGTTTCCCCTTTGTGAACCTGTTTCCTCACCTGTAACTGGGGATAGGAGGACCCCGTGTCAGGGTGAGGAGAAGACGCAATGCAAATGAGGTCATGCAGGTGCCCATCTAATGCTCAGTACTTAAGAAGTTCTCCATGATGATAACCTGGAAAAAACTCAGGGGGACTTGGGGAGAGGTGCCAACATTTAAATCCTTGTAGTGTGACTTAACTAGGTGTGTGACGATGGAGGGCTCTCTTCTCTAATCTTACTACTTGTAGCACTGCTGAGTGGATGAAGAATAATCCCAGTCCAGTGTTCTTAGCAGTGGAAGCACTTGATTAAGGGAAGTAGTAGGTGATATTATTTATGGGAGACTCACTAATGCCTCCACCCCACCCTAATATGTCCATGTCCTCACCCTTGGAAACTTACATGGCAAAAGAGACTTTGCAGATATGATTATGTTAAGGTTCTTGAGATGGGGAGATTATCTTGGATGATCCAGGTGAGCCCTACATGTAATCACAAGGGTCCTTATGGAAGGGAGTCAGGAGATTTGGGACCAGAAAAGGTCGGTGTGGTGAGAGCAGAGAATGTTGCTACACAGTTAGGTTTGAAGATGGAGGATGGGATTATGAGCCAAGGAATGCAGGCAGCTTCCAGAAGCTGCAAAAGACAAGGAATTGGAGCCTACAGAAAGAATGCAGCTCTGCTGACACCTTGATTTCAAGACTTCTGACCTCCAGAACTTTAAGCAAATGACTTTGCCTTGTTTTAAGCAACTAAGTTGGTGGTCATTTGGTATAACACCAATAGGAAGCTCATACATTATTATTATTATTATTTATACTAATAAAGAAGTTACAGACATTCTTCTGTGGATAGCAATTCTATAGTGTTCTCTCTGCCTTGGAGTATTAGTTACATGGCTATTTGTCTTCAAGGGCCACCTTTTTGTTGTTGTTATTGTTGTTAAGCCTTCCACACTCTGGGCCTCATGCTTTGAACTTGTGGATCGTCATAAAAATGTACTTTTAGCTTAGTACAGATGGGCTGGGAGTGGGACTCAAAATTGACCCTTCAGCGGGTTGAATGATTCAGAGGTGGACCCCCGTGGTAGTGGATGCCTTGAGTAACCCTGCCCAAATGTTTTCTCTCTGACCAGCATTCCTGGGGGCCATGTGCAGACTAGAAAGAGCACAGACTTAAGGATCAGATCTGGGTCTGGCTCCTCCTCCACCATCACAGCCTGAGTTCGGTTACTTAATTTGTCTGAGCCTCAGGTTCCTTCTCCGTCCCATGGGGACGTGATTCTAACCTCTCAGGGGAGTATGATGGGTCCCCCAAGACAGCATCTCTGGGACTGCTATCATGGGGGGCTGCAGGGTGGGCAAGCTGCCATGGGCATCCCCATGCGCTGTGGCATCAGGGCCTTAGAGATCCTGGTCTGGACGATTCCACCAGTTGGGTCACTGTGATCATACCTTCTGTTCCCTCACAGCTTGAGGCTTGTGGTCACATTTGAGACCAGTGCTAGACCAGGAGAGCTTTCTGTGATGAGGGAAATGTCCAAAACTCTCGCACACATAGAGCCCCATGAAAGCAGTAAGCTCTTGGAGCATGGCTAGTGAAACTGAGAAACTGAATCCTTACTTTATTTAATTGTGTCGATTTAAATTTAAAGAGCCAGTCCAAGACTTGGAAAGTCACGGCAATCTCTCATAGCAGGGTCAAGAATGAGGAACACCACAAAGGTGCCAGGGTAAATAATGAGGAAAGCAGAGTTTTTTTCACAAACAGATGCTGGATAGCCATATTTATTAAAAAAAAAAAAAAGTGGCAATTTAAATTCAACTTTTAGTCAATTAAAATGGAACAAAGTAGACATTTCTTTTCTCACACTAGCTGCATTTCAAGGGCCCAGCAGTCACACATGGCGAGTAGGTTACTGCGTTGGTCAGTGCACACCATAGAACATTTCCATCATCCGTAGAACACTTCCATCTCCCAGATGGTTCTGCTGGATGGTGTTGACCAATAGAAGGCCCGTCCCAGATTTTGCAGTTTGGTGTGGTTTTACAGAGTACTAACTTGGGTCCTTTGCAGTGGCTGTTGGTGG